TTCACCTTTCTCAAATCCCCTTCCACAACTCACCTGAATCTACCTCACAGAAATTCCCCTTTCTCAAATCCCCTTCCACAACTCACCTGAATCTACCTCACCTGTCCATCCCCTTGGCAGGTATCCCTGGGCCCCGAGGACGCTCTGGCAACCCAGGTGAAAAAGGTGAAGCAGGTGTTCCCGGTCTGAGCACCTGGCTGATCAACGGCACCGAGGTTGAGAAGCTCCTTATTCCCCCAGAAATACCGGGTACGTGGCGCTGAGACCCGTGTCGGTCATCCCACAATTCTTCGTCTTTCTTGGGGTTTTCTTTGTGTCCGGGTTTGTATTTCAGGGATTTATTGGCCATATTTTCCCCATTTTTTAGCAATTATGAGCGAATTTATTGCCATCGTTAGCATTTGCATAGGAAATATGGTTAGTGAATTTGGTTGTAGAAACGCTAGTAACAAAACTTAGCATTGTCATTTTCTAAAGAGAATCAATAATATCATCAACATCATAAGCATTCCTACTACCATCCCTGCCTCTACCATTAGCAAAAATAACAACAACACTGTTTAGTATTATCAAGACCCTCAAGATCTCCTCAGACACCGCCATTACCACTGCTCTCCTCGCCCTCCCTCAGGCTCGACCCGGAAGAAGCCCAGACGCCGCAAGACCATCATCGTCCGCGAGGGAGACAACCTGCGCATGCGCTGTAACCCCACAGGGGAGCCTCGGCCGCAGGTGGAGTGGAGCAGGGAGGACGGGGGCGTCATTCCCACGGGCCAGTGGAAGGGTAAGACACACTGACAAAAAAGACAGAAAAAAAAGAACGAGTGGATAGGTAAAAGCAAACAATGAGGATAATGATCCAATAATCAGGCTTGACAAAGATAATGAAAAAAAAAGGAGAGACAAGAAACAAAGAAACTCGCATCACCGACGAAGTAATACCTAATCTCGCATGTCCTTCGCGTCCAACAGACAGCGGACTCAACAGCCGGATCCTGAACTTAACGCACGTTCGCCGAGACCACACAGGAACCTACCTCTGCCAGGCTTACAACGGGGTCCCGCCCTCCGACTACAAGAGCTTCAAGGTCGAAGTTCACTGTAAGTATTCTAAACATTAGGGTAATTAATTTGTCTTTGTCTGTCTGTCTACTTCGTTATAGGGGTATTCTAAACATTAGGAGAGAGATTAATTTGTTTTTGTTTTTTTTACTGGTCTTTGTCTACTTCGTTATAGGGAATGTCATCATCTTCCGTTGTTGCTGCATTACTAATACTACTGACGGGTTATCCATCAGGCCTTGCTACTGCACACACGCACACACACACACACGCATACACAAAACACACACAACACACACACACACACACACACACACACACACACACACACACACACACACACACACACACACACACACACCACACACACACACACACACACACACACACACACACACACACACACACACACACACACACCACACACACACACACACACACCACACACACACACACACACACACACACACACACACACACACACACCTGTATGATAATTCCTCCGATATTTATGCAAATCTTTCTATGATGTATTCAGCATAAATAGGCAGAAAACCGTGGCTCCATCTTTCATCGCGGGAGATGTATCTTATGCTAATCATTTATGCATTAAGTCTTACATCATAACTTTTTTCCTGTAATATTTCTCGGAAGGATGGAATACTGCAAGAAAATAACGCATTTCCCTTTAAATGTTTAGTTATGGCTTGTAATTTTGTTTTTTAAGGAAAGAAATATTGTTGTGCTTCAGTGGGTCTCGCTTGATGTGTATCTTGGCTGTTTTGGATTTTTTTTTTTTTTTTTTTTTTTTTTTTTTTGATTTTACTTAGTCTTGTGGTGTAGCGGTCTATTACATTTAATCTTTTGTGCTGAGATGGAATAGATGCATGCCTATCCCGCTGTGGTTTTATTATATTGATTGATTTGACACACAGATGGCTTTACAAGTCATCTTTACAAGTCATCTTCATCTTTACAAGTCATTTTTTACCAGAGTCATTTATTGGCCCTACCCGTGTACCCTTTCTCTTTATTTTTGAAAAGTCATTTGTCTTTTGTTACTGTAAGTATTCTTATAACATTATGATAATCATAACGTCGATAACAACAATAATGATATCGATACTGTTAGTAATATCCTGAATATCCAAGGAATGGGGAAGCCAGGATGCGGCAATGTTCTCAGAGGGTATTTCACGTTCCCACGGCCAGGGCTTTAATCTTTTGTCCAGATATCGACTGATTAATCATATCCAGACAACATCATTTGAGCTGCCGTTCTCATTCTATTTAAAATGCAATCTGTTTCTGAGTGAACGAAACATTCTAGAATTCACAAATGTCAGGCTTTTATAGATGTTTATTTACACAAGCGTGAAACAGTTGATAGGTATCAGTATCTGATCAATTTTGTTTATTTTTTTCACCCTTCTTCTTAAGAACTGTTACTGTATGACTAAAATGGTTGTAATAGCTGATCTATCAAGGCCTCATTACGAAATAGATACTTTACGTGGTAAACACACACACACACACACACACACACACACACACACACACACACACACACACACACACACACACACACACACACACACACACACACACACACACACACACACACACACACACACACACACACACACACCACGCATAATATACACACCATAATCGCATATATACATTTATTACCTTTTTTTCTCTCTCCAGTCGAACCATACCTCCGCATAAGGCAGTGGAAGGTTGGCACTTACAACGGATCGAATGCCAGGCTGGAGTGTGAGGTGCAGGCCTTCCCCCAGCCCGTGACCTACTGGGAGGACCAGCACGGGCACATCCTCGACAACTCGAGCAAATACTCCATTGCTTATCATCCCAATCCGAATATCTTGTGGAAGGTACGAACGGGAGTGATATTCTGACTTTGGTAGTTTTGTTCTATGTTCTCTAGCTTATTCCTCGTTTTTTTTCTGTTTGTAGTGTTTTTGTCATGTATATTGTTGTTAGTGTTATCATCTGTTATTGCGACTATTATTATTATGGTCATTGTTTTTTTGTTGTTGTTGTTGTGTTTCTAATATGATAATAATAATAAGAATGAAAATGATAATGATAATAATCATAATCATGATAATGATAACAATAATTATCCCTATTACCATCATCATCATCATCATCATCATCATTATCAATCATTATTATCATTAACTATTATTATTATCATCATGATCATTATTAACCTTATCATTATCATCATTATTATCATCACCATTAATACTATTATCATGATCATTGTTATCATTATCATTTCACTTTCATTTTCATAATTACAAGCATAATGACTATCCTCATTGTATTCTTTCCCATAACAACGATCACTACAACCAATTCCTCCTACTTACTTACTTACTTACTTACTTCTACTTACTTCTATCTACAGAGTATGATGATCCTAAATATTTCGGACATCGAAGCGACTGACTTTGGAGATTACCATTGCGTCGCCAAGAACGAGCTGGCAATGATCAGAGGTCACGTGAAGCTGTATGGTGAGTAAGATTGTTCATGTGGTGTGTATGTGTATGTAGAGTGACATGTAGAGTGTATGTAGAGTGACAGAAGTGCTCGTATTGAAGTGGGAGTCGGGATGTGTGCGTATTTGTGAGTGTGGGTTTGTGTGTGTGTGTATGTATGGCTGGGTATTATCGTCATTTTAATTGTTTTGATGATAATTATTATAATGATGATAACAATAATGCTGATAATAGTAATGATATTGACAAAGATAATGATAATGATAGGGATGATGAGCAATATTGTAATTATCCTTACTATTATTATTATTGTTTGAATTATTGATATTATAATCATCAATGTTGTTAATACATTTATCTTTAATGTTACTGTTACTAAACTCATTCATCTCTCTATCCATTTTATCTTCTTCGTTCTCATTCTTTGCGTATTTCCCTATTCTTTTCTACTTCCCTTCTCCTTCCTTTACATTCCGTGTGTATTTACCAATTCACTTCTATTTATCGTATCAATCTATATTCCCTGTATATCTACCTGTTTACTTCTATTTCCATTCTCTTTCATTTTCATTTCCCTATTCAATTACAGGTTTATTTATTACTTATTTATCTATTTTATTCCTATTCGCTCGCCTATTAATCTTCATTCCCTTTACCTTCATTTTCATTTACAGGTTTATTCATTACTTTATCTATCTAATTTATTCCTGAAAATAATATTACCCCCCCCCCCCCCCGCCAAGAGATCGACCCCACCCTCTACATCCCCAAAACGGGCACCGAGGACATCCTCACCTTCGGCCTCGATGCCCCAAGGTACTCCGAGCTCTTCGACGACTTGTGCCCGCCCATCCAGGAGTGCCCCGAGTGCCCCAAGACGCCCAAGTGTGCCGAGGGGCGTGGAACACTCTTCGGCCTGCAGGTGGAACAGTTCGGGAACAAGACGTATCCTGGATTTAGGAACAGAACCTTCGGTAAGTGTCTGTCGAGTGGATATGTGGATTTGGGGGTGGATATATTTGGGTATCTTGTGTGGTTATGGTTTAAGAACATTCGCACAAAAAAAGAAGAGAGAGAGAGAGAGGAAGACAAAAAAAAAAAAAAAAAAAAAAAAAAAAAAAAAAAAAAAAAACTATATATATATATATATATATATATATATATATTATATATATATATATATATATATATATATATATATATATATATACATAAACCATAAGTAATATACAAGTAACCTCAAACAATTCCTCTCTCTCCCTGCCTCTATCTCTCTCCCCTTCCTCCCTCTCCTCTCCCCCTCCCCCTCTCTCCCTGCTTCTCACCCGCTCTCCCTCCTTCCCTCTCCCTCTCCCCCTCCTCCCCTTCTCACCCCTCTCCCCCTCACCCTCTCTCCCTCCTTCC